AAGGTAGATGGGATACAAGGAGAATAGAAGCATCAGGGAAGAGAGAGGTGAAGGTTTATAAACTAAAAGAGGAGGCAGTTAGGGTAAGATATAAACAGCTATGGAGGATAGATGGGCTAATGAGAGCATAGGCAATGGGGTCGAAGAGGTATGGGGTAGGTTTAAAAATGTTGTGTTAGAGTGTTCAGCAGAAGTTTGTGGTTACAGGAAAGTGGGTGCAAGAGGGAAGAGTGAGCGATTGGTGGAATGATGATGTAAAGAGAGTAGTAAGGGAGAAAAAGTTAGCATATGAGAAGTTTTTACAAAGTAGAAGTGATGCAAGGAGAGAAGAGTATATGAAGAAAAAGAGAGAAGTTGAGAGAGTGGTGAAGCAATGTAAAAAAGAGAGCAAATGAGAGAGTGGGTGAGATGTTATCAACAAATTTTGTTGAAATAAGAAAAGTTTTGGAGTGAGATTATCAAGTTAAGGAAGCCTAGAGAACAAATGTATTTGTCAGTTAAAAATAGGAGAGGAGAGTTATTAAATGGAGAGTTAGAGGTATTGGAAGATGGAGGGAATATTTTGAGGAATTGTTAAATGTTGATGAAGATAGGGAAGCTGTGATTTCGTGTATAGGGCAAGGAGGAATAACATCTTGTGAGTGGGGAAGAGCCTTTTGTGAGTGTGGGGGGAAGTTCGGAGGCAGTAGTAAAATAAAGGGGGGTAAGGCAGCCGGATGATGGGATAAAGAAGAAATGTTAAAAGCAGGGGGGGATATAGTTTTGGAGTGGTTTGGTAAAAATTATTTAAAAAATTAGGAAGAGGGTAAGTACCTAGGGATTGACAAGAGCATGCATATTCCCTTTGAATAAAGGCAAAGGGACAAAAAGAGTGAAAAATTTTAAAGGGGGATAAGTCTGTTGAATACCTGGAAATTTAGGTAAGTTATTATTGAAAGTTTAAAGAGAAAAAACAGAGAATAGGAGAGCAGATGAACAAGGGGGCTTTGGAAAGGAGGGGTTTGGCCCAGGTTTTTACAGTGAAACATAAAGTGAACAGTATTTAGAAAAGGGGCTAAAATCTTTGTGGCTTTTATGGTTTTTGGAAAAGCTTATGACAGGGGGATGGGGGGGGAAAGTGGCAATGTTGCAGGTGTAGGTGTAGGAGGTAGTTACTGAAAGCAGGAAATTTTTTTACGAGGATATGGGCTCAAGTTAAAAATGAGGAAAGGGGGAAATATTTCCCGTAAAAGGGCTTAACAATGATTGATGTCACCGGGTTGTTTAATATTTTATAGATGGGTTGTAAAGAATAAAGCGAGGGTCTGGCAAGAGGTTGGAGTTAAAAGAAAAAAATCCACACAAAGTGGGATTTTTCAAGTTGCCTTTTGCTGAAGACACGTCCCTTTTGGGGAATTTCAAAGAAAAGTTGCAGAGTTTGGTGATAAAATTTGGGTAGGTATGCAAAAAAAAATTTAAAGTAAATACGGGAAAGAGAAAGGGTTTATGAGAATAACAAAAAATTGGGAAAAAGTTTGGTATCAGTTTGGGAGGGGAGAGTATGGAGGAGGGAATGTATCCAGATATTTGGAGTGGCTGTCAGCGATGGTTTTAAAAAAGATGGGGTAATCAAGAATTGATGGGGGGAAAAGGTGAGGGGTGCATTTAGGATCTGTGGAGAAAAAGAATTTTGTCCAAAGGGGAAAGGGAATGATGAGAGTATATTTAAAACTCTTATATGGGGGAAGCAGGGTGATGAATGTTGCAGGGGAGAAGGGTGGGGCAGTGAAGATGCATGTCGAGGGGAATGTGTGGGGAATAAATGCAGAAATTTGTAATTTGGGAAATTTGGAAGTCGGATTACCAAAACGTTGTCCAGAGGGCTGAGGGAAGGGGGTTTTTTGGTGTTCGGGCATGTAAAGAAGGAGCAAAAAGAATGACTTAAGAGTGATCCCTTTGGGAAGGGGAAACGGGGTAGTGGGCGGGCCTAGGAAAGGTGGGGGGGGGGAAAGGGGGTTTTTTGGCAGGGGGTTGGCTTCCAGCAGGCTGCGTGAGCATGTTTGATAGGGGTGAATGGGGACAAATGGTTCTTTAAAACTTGACGTGCTGTTGGAGGGGAGCAAAGTAACTTTATGAAAGGGTTTTAGGAAACCCCAGCTGGACTAGCCTGGGGATGGGAGTACATCCTGCACTCTGAAAGGGGGGTGTTAAGTTCAGTTTAAAAACTTAGTGTAAACCCCCTCTGGGAAACAGTGATGGGGTGAATGATGGTGAAAGTTTTTCTTTTTTGGGGCCCCCCGCCTTGGTGGGAACAGCCAGTGGATAAAAAAAAAAAAATAGATAGAAATGACAGGGGAGCAATTTGGGAATGTTTCAAAATAAAGGGAAAGGGGTAATTACTAAAAGCTGAAAGAGTTTTTATGAGGATAGTGAGGGCCCGGTTAGTGGGTAGAAGCGAGGGGGAATTTCCTGTAAAAGAGGGGTTTTAAAAGGGAAAGTTAATGTAACTATGGTTTTTAATACATTTATAGATGGGTTTAAAAGAAGTAAAGCAGGGGTTGGGGAGAGGGTAGGATTAAGTTATGGAAACAAATACAAAATGGGGGTTGAAAAGTTACTTTTTGCTGATGATACTGTGTTTTTGGGGATTCTAAAGAAAAATTTCAAAGGTTAGGACGAGTTTTGAGGGAAGGTATGAGGTATCAAATGATTAGATAAAGAAAAATTGGATATACTTTTGGGGGGAGGGAGTATGGAAAAGTGAATGTTTTTCAAATTTTGGGGGTTACTGTCAGCAGATGGGTTATAAGGAAGGTTAACCAAAAACTGAAAGAAGGAAAAAAGGTAGTGGGGGGCTTGAGGTATATATTTTTATTTTTTTTTATTATCACACTGGCCGATTCCCACCAAGGCAGGGTGGCCCGAAAAAGAAAAACTTTCACCATCATTCACTCCATCACTGTCTTGCCAGAAGGGTGCTTTACACTACAGTTTTTAAACTGCAACATTGACACCCCTCCTTCAGAGTGCAGGTATATGTGGAGACAAAAAACAATATCCATCTAGGCAAAGAAGGGAATGTATGAAAGTATAGTAGTACCAACACTTTTACATGGGTGTGAAGCTTGGGTTGTGAATGCAGCAGTGAGGAGGCAGTTGGAGGCAGTGGAGATGTCCTGTCTAAGGGTAATGTGTGGTGTAAATATTATGCAGAAAATTCGGAGTGTGGAAATTAGGAGAAGGTGTGGAGTTAATAAAAGTATTAGTCAGAGGGGGCTGAAGAGGGGTTGTAGATGTGGCTTGGTCATTTAGAGAGAATGGATCACAGTAGAATGACATGGAGAACATATAAATCTTTAGGGGAAGGAAGGCAGGGTAGGGGAGGGGGTAAAGGAGGTTTTGTGGGCGAGGGGCTTGGACTTCCAGCAAGCATGCGTGAGCCTGTTAGATCGGAGTGAATGGAGACGAATGGTTTTTGGGACCTGTCGAGCTGTTGGAGTGTGAGCAGGGTAATATTTAGTGAAGAGATTCAGGAAAACCCGTTATTTTTATATAGCAGAACTTCAGTATTGGAAATGAGAAGTACAATGCCTGCACTTTAAAGAAGGGGTTTGGGATATTGGCAGTTTGGAGGGGCATGTTATATATCTTTATATATGCTTCTAAACTGTTGCATCTGGGCACCTCTGCAAAACCAGTAATTATGTATAAGTGAGGTGAAAGTGTTGAATGATGAAAGTATTTTCTTTTTGGGGATTCTCTTCTTTTTAGGTCACCCTGTCTCGGTGGGAGACGGCCGACTTGTTGAAAAAAAAAATCCAGCACATAGAAAGCGGAGCAGAATTCTTCCTCCATAAGCCATGCGTGACTTAAGAGGCGACTAAAATGCCAGGAGCAAGAGGCTAGTAACCCCTTCTCTTGTATACGTTACTAAATTTCAAAAGAGAAACTTTTTCTTTTTAGGTCACCCTGCCTCAGTGGGATATGGCCGGTTTGTTTAAAAAAAAATCCTGTACATATCCAAGGTCTCGAAAACAGTTGGTATTCTCTCGAGATGCATTGCTGTGTACCTCAAACAACAATACTTACACTGTACTACTCTCTTAAATACCCTTACCTCACCTAAGGTATTTGTGCCTGGGGATCTATTAATAAAATCACATAAAACCATTAATAACCCAACAAATAGCAGGTGTGCAGACTATCACCCACTCTAGTGCCAGACAACACATTCCCTCACTCTTCAAAGCTTGAACTTACTTAATGTACAAAATATGCACTCATACTGCAACAGAACACAAAGGCCTAATTCAAGACACAATAACCTCTTGACATCCCCAGTGTCCAACTCAACCTGTGTAAAAAGTCAATGCACATGAAAGGCCCTCAGATCTAGAATTCACTACCTGAAGCATCAAAAGGTCCCCTGACTGCCAATCAATTCAGAGCTGTTGTTAAAAAGCACCTCATCTTCCTAACTAAACCTGCAATATGCTATGTCAAACAAAACAAGCTTTCATCCAACTCTGCCACTGTTCTTCCATCTTCCTTCAACTCTATCCCTGTTCTGCTTCCATCTTCCTTCAACTCTGTCCCTGTCCTTCCAGTCTTCCTTCAACTCTGCCCTGTTCTTCTTCCAATCTTCCTTCAACTTTGTCCCTGCTCTTCTTCCAGTCATTCTTCATATCCCATACATAAATGGCAACATATCACGTCTCATTAGTTTCATTGTAACTAAGTAACCTGCTGTATTTTCACCATTTCAATTCAATTATTTCCCTGCACAGTGCAAGTACTGTACTTCCCACCTCCAGGACTCAAGTCAAGCTAACCAGTTTCTCTGAATCCTTTCATAAATGCTACCTTGCTCACACTCCAACAGCATGTCCAATTCCAAAACCAGTTTGACTCCACTTTGATCTAAGAAGCTGACACAAGCCTAATAATACTCAAACATTTACTACTCAAAACCTTTCTCAAGCCTTTCTCCAACCATTCCTGGGACAGAAGGCAAGACTTACCCTTCCTTCAGTATAACTGGGGTATCATAGGCTTTATGGCTTCCATTGGGCATCGATGAGATGATCTCCAGGAACTGAAGAAGAAAACTTTGTTAGAATAAATCACGATACTGCAGCCGCAATAATTTACTTTAAACCCAAAAACTGTCTAAAAAAAATTACAACAAACCCCACAATATTTATCTCAACAATTTAAAACCCCCGAAACTGTGCACAACAATTTACGACTACCCAAAACGTGTCTACAACAATTAATACTGACAATACCTGGGTGCAACATTCACACCCCCTTAATAACACTGTCGTAAAAATTTCTAACTCCCACATTATTGTGGCGAAATATTCACACAAACCCTAGGTAAAGTTGAAGATAAGCCAGGAAAACCCGGAAAGTCAAGTAGTAGGTTTAGGACATGATGTCATTGGGGTCCCCCCCAGGATCCACCCACAACATCCTTAAATCTCAAGTTCCTTTTTACTATTGGGTGAAGGGGGACAGTAGCAGGTGCAAGACTTCCCAACTTCTCACCCTGCCCAGGTTCACTAGCTGCACAATACCCGAAACCATTTACTGCTGGGGAGAACAGGGAACGGTGTAAAAACATACCCACAAGTCCCCCCTGCCCAGGATTAACCCTAATTTTTAAATTTGTGGAATTTATTTCCAAAATAAATCTCTGCATAGCTTTCACGTAACAAACCTTTCATCAAAAATGTCTTGTCGGGTTTTTTTTTTTTTCAATCCCCGGGGCCGTACCCCCCAAGGCAGGGTGACCTAAAAAAACAAGTTTTTTTTTTAAAATGTTTAATTTATCAAGGGGGGTTTAAAAAATTTTTTATTTTTAAACCCCATCACGTCCCCCCACCAAGGCAAGGGGCCCCAAAAAATAAGAAACAAAAATTTTTTCTTCATTTAAATTTATAATTTATACAGGGAAGGGTTCTAGCCCTTGCTCCCGGCATTTTTTGTCCCCCCTCTTACGACCACATGACTTACGGGGGAAGAATTTTTTTCCACTTCCCCAGGAAAAAAATTTTACATTTTTTTTAATATTGGGAAAGGGGAGACAAATGCATATAGGGACGGGCTCTGCTTTACAGCGCTTCACTTTATGGTGTTTCACTAATACAGCAGTTTTCAATTCTAGTCATTCTTCATTCATTCAGACTTGCTACAATAAATATATTCACCAATCACTATAAGCTAAAGAAGAAAATATTTTAAGGTAATTTTTGTACTGCATATGCATTTTTGAGGCCTAGCATTATTGCTCACTTATTTATGATAGTGCAAAAACATGTTATCAGGCTTTCATATGCATCTGAAAGTGAAAAAAAAGACTTTCAGTTTAGAGCAGCAGCCTGGAACCTGACCTGCTGTATAAGTGGGACTGGAACCTGACCTGCTGTATAAGTGGGACTGGAACCTGACCTGCTGTATAAGTGGGACTGGAACCTGACCTGCTGTATAAGTGGGACTGGAACCTGACCTGCTGTATAAGTGGGACTGGAACCTGACCTGCTGTATAAGTGGGACTGGAACCTGACCTGCTGTATAAGTGGGACTGGAACCTGACCTGCTGTATAAGTGGGACTGGAACCTGACCTGCTGTATAAGTGGGACTGGAACCTGACCTGCTGTATAAGTGGGACTGGAACCTGACCTGCTGTATAAGTGGGACTGGAACCTGACCTGCTGTATAAGTGGGACTGGAACCTGACCTGCTGTATAATGGGACTGGAACCTGACCTGCTGTATAAGTGGGACTGGAACCTGACCTGCTGTATAAGTGGGACTGGAACCTGACCTGCTATATAAGTGGGATTGGAACCTGACCTGCTGTATAAGTGGGACTGGAATCTGACCTGCTGTATAAGTGGGACGATCCTGTGCAACTTTATCAAGTCACAACCCACTGTTTTGGGCTAAACTTTGCCAATAAAACACTGCATTATACTACAGCATTTGTGTCTTGTTTTATACTGTGTCGGTATTTTAAACCTTTTATCTCCATTTATTCTTATTATTTATTACACATAGCAAGAGCATCGGTGGGTGGTAGAGAGGGTAAGAATGACCATGTGGGCAGTAAAGAGAGTAAGAGTGACTGTGTGGGTGGTAAAGAGAGTAAGAGTGACTGACCGTACGCATGCCTTCCACATGTTTGTCAGTCACACAGTGACCAAACACTTCCCGCATGTAACTCTCCCGGAAGTTGTGGTGTGAGGTGCGAGAACTGACCAGGTTGCCCACACTCTGAACCGTCTTGCTCAACAATGTTAGTGTTCGATGAGTTGATGAATCCTGCAACCATTACCAACACTCAACAACACACAAACAAAAAAAATTCCAGAATGAAGAAATTAGCAAAAATACTTTGATTGATGATTTATTATTGTTATTATCATTATTATTATTATTATTATTATTATTATTAAAGTGAATAATTGTCTCTGCTAAGGCAGGGTGATCAAAAGAAGAAAATACATTAACTAATTACTATTATTATATTATCAATGTTTTGTTACTATAGTATTATGATAATATAAAAACCTAAGGCTGGAGGAACACTGCAGTAGACCTACTTGCTGAAAAATGAGACTTTTTTATTTATATCATAGGCCTATGGCCTGCACAAAACCCATAAGGTCATACAAAAGGCAAGCTAAAAAATTGAGACAGCAAAATTCAAAATTATTTTTTGACAAGCATAAGGAGTATTTTAAATCGGTTTTTAACACAAGTAAAATAGTTCAAACTTACTACTCACAAAACCTTAATTTTGAAAAGCTTCATAAGTACTTTGAAGAAATAATGATATTAACTTTTTCAGGTCCTTACTAACTGTAACAAGTGTTACAATGTGTTACTGCAACACAAGCATCTACTTACTATCTGGTCAACACAAACATTAACTAATTTTCTTTAATAGAGAGGCTAAATGACCACTTATTACTTGTTCAGTAGTGAGGTTAAACCACCACTATCTCTTCAACAGAGGTTTATCTCTTCAACAGAGGTTTATCTCTTCAACAGAGGTTTATCTTTTCAATATCAAATCAATCAAATCAAAATTTATTTATTTCCTAAGGTTACAATGTGTGTTTACATTTCATAATTTAATTGGTACAAAGAAAGCCACTATCATGCTGAGGCATTTCGGGTTTATCTCTTGAACAGAGGTTTATCTCTTCAATGGAGAGATTGAACAACCACTATCATTTCAAAAGAGAGGTTAGTCCTTTCGGTGTCGGTCCCGTCATATAATGGCTTTGATGCCATTATATGACAAGGAATACTAGCAAAATAGTTATGAGTTTGGTTCACTGGAACAATGGAATTAGTCGAAAGACTGGGGCACAAAGTGGACAAAATCACCAATGCGAAAACATTGCCGAAACCACTAACTTTGCAAGAGAGTAATTCCCTAATTTTTCCATCAAATTTCATACTTTTGGTTTCATTACCTTCGGAAAAAGATTCTCTATCATTTCAGAAAAAAATTTAATTCTTTGACCCTGAGAGCAAGTTTGAGATCAGGGCTCTTGACCCTAAAAGGGTTAAACAACAACTCTCTCTTCAACAGAGCTTAAACAACGACTATCTCTTCAATAGAGAGCTTAAAAGACCACCAGCTATCTCTTCAAAAAAGAGCTTAACCTTTCAGGGTCTGAAACTTGAGCACGGGGTAAAAGAACATTAAAAAGAAAAATATTTTTTTTTATAAAATGGTAGAGAATCTTTTTCTGAAAGTAACAAAAAGTACAAAATTTGATGGAAAATTGACAAAATTACACTTTCAGGAATTTTGTTGAGTCAGTGATATTTACGCATCAGTGATTTTGCCTACTCTGTCTTATGGCCAATTACATTGTTCCAGACAACCAAATTCTTAGCTATTTCGTTAGTATGTCTTCCATTGTATTGAGTAAACACAAAAAACACCTAACCAACATTTCAACTCCCCAATAAAGTGATCAGAAATTGGTAATTTGGCCAATTTTACACAAATTTCAAAATATGCCAATTTCAAATTAGGGTCCAGAATAAACAATGCAGGCATTCCTGGCAGTAAAATGGCATTTCCTCTGTTCATTAGTTACATTCCCAGGCTTTACACATGAATTCCATTTTGAATTTTTATTCAGACAAAGAACTTTTATTCACAAAAAAATTGAATATTTACCGTTATGCATTACTGTAATAATTGTATAAATAATGTCAGCACTAATTATCTCTTCAAAAGAGAGGTTAAATGACCACTATTTCTTCAATATAGAGACTGAACCAGCACTTACTATTTGTTCAGTAGTGAGGTCAAACAACTTGGGATAGAGTATTGCTGGAGCGAAGAACCTGAGGAAGACGAAGCCGGATATCACTGAGTAACGCACTTCTCGCTCATCTGTTCAAACAATAACAACATAACAACATAAGAAAGGAGGAACACTGCAGGAGGCCTGCTGGCCCATACTAGGCAGGTCCTTTACAATTCATCCCACTAACAAACATTTGCCCAACCCAATTTTCAATGCTACCCAAGAAATAAGCTCTGATGTGAAAGTCCCTCTCAAATCCAACCCCTCCCACTCACGTACTTATCCAACCTAAATTTGAAACTACCCAAAGTCCTAGCCTCAATAACCCAACTAGGTAGACTGTTCCACTCATCTACTACCCTATTTCCAAACCAATACTTTCCTATGTCCTTTCTAAATCTAAACTTATCTAATTTAAATCCATTACTGCGGGTTCTCTCTTGGAGAGACATCCTCAAGACCTTATTAATATCCCCTTTATTAATACCTATCTTCCACTTATACACTTCGATCAGGTCTCCCCTCATTCTTCGTCTAACAAGTGAATGTAACTTAAGAGTCTTCAATCTTTCTTCATAAGGAAGATTTCTAATGCTATGTATTAATTTAGTCATCCTACGCTGAATGTTTTCTAACGAATTTATGTCCATTCTGAATATGGGGGACCAGAATTGGCTGCATAATCTAGGTGAGGCCTTAATAATGATGTATAAAGCTGCAGTATGCCCTGGACTTCGTTGCTACACTTTTTTACATAAAACCCAGTAAAACTATTTGCCTTATTCGTCGCTTGGCATTGCTGTCTTGGTTTAAAGGGTTTCTCTCACCATAAACCCCCCAAATCCTTTTGCAATCTGTATGGTTAAATTCAAAATCTTTAACTTATAAATACTAGGGTTATGGGCACTCCCAAGCTTCAGAACCTTGATTTATCTCATTGAACTGATCTGCCACTTTTTGACCAAAAATAAGTTTGTTTAAATCCCCGAAGTTCCTTTTCATTTTGTTTGAATCAAATTTTCCTACCCCATCTTTTGTCTCGGGGAATTTTCTATATCACTGAATTCCCCTCAAGATCATTGATATATCATGTATTTTAAAAAACAACGGGCCCAAGTTGATCCTGTGGAAAAGCCACTTGTTACGATCCCCATCGGATTTAACCCCATTTTGGACACTCGTTCCTGTCAGTGAGCCCTGACCGATCCACGGAGCATTTTCCCCAATGCCATGGCTGCCCCTTTTTTTAAAGTCTATGGTGCAGAACTCTATCCAAAAGCCTTTTTAAAATTAAATTAAATAATATCAAATTCCTTATCGTGGTCAACAGCCTCGAAAGCTTTACTGAACAAAAATTAAAAATTAGGGTTTGACAAGACCCGGCCCCTTTGTCCTGTAGTATCATTTAAACAAGCATGTTATCGAGATGGCTTCTTATAACTAGCTATAATTGCCTTTTAATTTGCCTACATTTTAGGGTCAGGTTATTGGGCGGGAATTTGCGGAACGACTTGTCCCCGTTTTTAAAAAATGGATTTTCATTAGCCATCTTTCCCCATATCAGGGCCTACACCTGTTTGAAGAGATAAATTAAAAATATTAGTTAATGGTTCACAGAGTTCCATTTTGCATTCCTTAAGAACCCTTGAAAAAACCTCATCAGGGCCCGGCGACTTATTTGCTTCAGTCTGTCTATCTGCTTCAAAAACCATTTCACTAGTGACTGTGATGTTACATAATTTATCTTCTTCTAGCCCACTAAAAAATTAAATTTACTGGAATATTGTTAGTGTCTTCCTGTGTAAAAACTGAGAGAAAATAATTATTAAAAATCGAGCACATTTCATTCTCTTTGTCAGTAAGGTGCCCATAGTTATTTTTAAAGGGACCTATCTTATCTCTAACTTTTGTTCTATAGACCTGGAAAACACTTTTTGGGTTAGTTTTAGAATCCCTAGCAACTTTAATTTCATAGTCCCTTTCAGCTTTTCTTATCCCCTTTTTAATGTCCCTCTTAACCCTTTGAGTGTTTCAGGCCCCTCTCTGAAACTGTCATTCTATGTCGCCAAATATTAAAAAAAAAAAAATTATTTTTTCTTATGAAAATGTTAAGATTATTTTTCTGAGTGTTTTAGGCCAAAAAAAAAATTTTTGCCATCGGTACTTACCGAGATATAGAGCCGTGAAGTTTGCAGAAAATGAGCCGTGTATGGCAACAGCGGCGACTGCCACTCACCGGGTAAACTTTAGTTTACTTGTAATTGAAGGTTTTTTGTTTTTTTCACTATTTTATTTTTTCACATAACTTATGTGGCCTATGAGACCAAAGTAAGGTGCAATGTATATATATACACTCGTTGTATACAACACAATAAGCACACAAACATAATTATCAATATATTGTTTACAAAACTTGTTTACAAAAACAAACAAACAAAATCATCATCATCATCCTCATCATCCTCCTCATCATCATCATCCTCCTCATCATCATCCTCCTCCTCCTCCTCATCATCATCCTCCTCCTCATCATCATCATCATCCTCCTCATCATCATCCTCATCATCCTCATCATCATCCTCCTCCTCCTCCTCATCATCACATCCTCATCATCATCATCCCCCCTCCTCATCATCATCATCCTCATCATCATCCTCCCATCATCCTCCTCCTCATCATCACATCCTCCTCATCATCATCATCATCATCCTCATCATCATCATCCTCATCATCATCATCCTCATCATCCTCCTCCTCATCATCATCATCCTCCTCCCATCACATCATCCTCCTCATCATCATCATCCTCCTCCTCATCACATCCTCCTCCTCCTCCTCCTCCTCATCATCATCCTCCTCATCATCATCATCATCATCCTCATCATCCTCCTCCTCATCATCCTCCTCCTCCTCATCATCCTCATCATCATCATCATCCTCATCATCCCCCATCATCATCATCCTCCTCCTCCTCATCATCCCATCCTCATCATCATCATCCTCCTCATCATCATCATCCTCCTCCTCCTCATCATCATCCTCCTCCTCCCATCATCCTCATCCTCATCAACATCCTCCTCCTCCTCATCACATCATCCTCCTCCTCCTCCTCATCATCATCATCATCATCCTCATCATCATCATCATCCTCCTCCTCATCATCATCATCCTCCTCCTCCTCCTCATCATCATCATCCTCCTCCTCCTCAATCTCCTCATCCTCATCATCATCATCCCCCTCCTCCTCATCATCATCCTCCTCCTCATCATCATCCTCCTCCTCCTCATCATCCTCATCCTCATCATCATCATCCTCCTCCTCATCATCATCATCCTCCTCCTCCTCATCATCCTCATCCTCATCATCACATCCTCCTCCTCATCATCATCATCCCCTCCTCACATCATCCTCCTCCTCCTCCTCCTCCTCCTCATCATCCTCCTCATCATCATCATCATCATCATCATCCTCCTCCTCCTCATCATCCTCCTCATCATCATCATCACATCCTCATCATCCTCATCATCATCATCCTCCTCCTCATCATCATCATCATCATCATCATCACCTCCTCCTCAAACATCATCATCCTCATCCTCATCATCATCATCATACATCCTCCTCCTCCCCTCCTCCTCCTCCTCCTCCTCCTCCTCTTCCTTCCCTCTTCCTTCCCTCTTCCTTCCCTCTTCCTTCCCTCCTCCTCCTCCTCCCCTCCTCCTCCTCCTCCTCCTCCTCCTCTTCCTTCCCTCCTCCTCCTCCTCTTCCTCCTCTTCCTTCCCTCCTCCTCCTCCTCCTTCCTCCTCTTCCTTCCCTCCCTCCTCCCCCCTCTTCCTTCCCCCCTCCTCCTCCTCCTCTTCCTTCCTCCCCTCCTCCTCCTCCTCCTCTTCCTTCCCTCCTCCTCCTCCCCCCCTCCTCTTCCCCCTCCTCCTCCTCCTCCTCTTCCTTCCCTCCTCCTCCTCCTCTTCCTCCCTCCCCCCTCCTCCTCCTCCTCCTCCTTCTCCTTCCCTCCTCCTCCTCCTCCTCCTCCTCTTCCTTCTCCCCCCTCCTCCTCCTCCCTTCCCTTTCCTCCTCCTCCTCCTCCTCCTCCCCTTCCTTCCCTCCTCCTCCTCCCCTCCCTCTTCCTTCCCTCCTCCTCCTCCTCCTCCCCTCCCCTTCCTTCCCTCCTCCTCCTCCTCCTCTTCCTTCCCTCCTCCTCCCCCCTCCTCTTCCTTCCCTCCTCCTCCTCCTCCTCCTCCTCTTCCTTCCCCCCTCCTCCTCCTCCTCCTCCCTCTTCCTTCCCTCCTCCTCCTCCTCCTCCTCCTCTTCCTTTCCCTCCTCCTCCTCCTCCTCCTCCTCTTCCCTTCCCTCCCCCCTCCCCTCTTTCCTTTCCCCCCCCTCCTCCTCCTCCCTTCCTTTCCCCCCTCCTCCTCCTCCTCCTCCTCTTTCCCTTTCCCCCCTCCTCCTCCTCCTCCTCCTCTTTCCCTTTCCCTCCTCCTCCTCCTCCCTCCTTCCCCCCTCCTCCTCTCCTCCTCCTCTTCCTTCCCTCCTCTCCTCCCCTTTCCTCCCTTCCCCCTCCTCCTCCTCCTCCTCCTCCTCTCCTTCCCCTCCTCCTCCTCCTCTTCCTTCCCTCCTCCTCCTCCTCCTCCTCCCTCTTCCTTCCCTCCTCCTCCTCCTCTTCCTTCCCCCTCCCTCCTCCTCCTCCTCCTCCTCCTCCTCTTTCCTTCCCTCCTCCTCCTCCTCCTCCTTCCTCTCCTCCCCCCTCCTCCTCCTCCTCCTTCCCCCCTCCTTCCTCCCCCTCCTCCTCTTTTCCTTCCCTCCTCCTCCTCCCCTCCTCCTCTTCCTTCCCTCCTCCTCCTCCTCCCCCTTCCCTTCCTTCCCCCCCTCCTCCTCCTCCTCCCCTCTTCCTTCCCTCCTCCTCCCCCTCCTCCCCTCCTCCTTCCCTCCTCCTCCTCTCCCTTCCTCCCTCTTCTCCCCCCTCCCCCTTCCCCTTTCCCCTCCTCCTCCTCCTCCTCCTCTTTTCCCCCCCCCCCTCCTCCTCCCCCTTTCCCCCCCCCTTTTCCCCCTCCTCCATTGCTTTTTTGGGCTCAAACTCCTCCAAATCATGAAATTGATCTTCACTGACACTTTCCATCTGTGTTAGAGCATCACTTGGGAAGAGAAAAAGGGCCCAGATTTGCTGGGGAATCACATATTTCTTACCGCTAGACATGCTGAAAAAGGACTGAAATGGCATTCCCACAATGCACCACTGGCTCCCCGATTTTTTTTATATGGTGCACACTGACCATGGAGACCCATTCTCTCACATGTGGGCCTACCAGCTTTCTCCTGCTTGATTTGAAGCTGCTAGAATTTATGCGTATAAATACGTCAGAAACATTGGCTCGTAAGACGTATTTATACTCGGAAACGTCAAAGGTTAATGTCAATATACTGATTCATAAGATGACCCTCACCTCTTTTGATACGCCTATAAATTCCTTTCTTATGCCCAAGTAGATATTTGAGCCTATTATTCATCCATTTTGGGTCATTTCTATTTGATCTAATTTCTTTATATGGGATAAACGTTCTTTGAGCAGCATGTATTGTGTTCAGAAAACTGTCATATTGATAGCTCACTTCGTTACCCCAGTCAACAGATGATAAGTGTTCTCTAAGCCCATCGTAATCTGCTAAGCAAAAATCTGGGACTGTTACTGAGTTATCGCTACTATCGTACTTCCATTTAATGCTAAAAAAACTGGACCATTCATTCTGAAAATAATCAGATATTCTATTTTTTCTTCTAAGAGTAAAGGAAGAAATCTAACAATGATTTTAGGTTGTGCATCTCACGTTGAATATTATCGTCATCGTTAACAGGGAACACTAAACCTGTAGGGGTCATATAACATTAGATTAAGAGCCCTTTGGCAGCATCAAGAGACCTCCCCCAGCCCGAAAGACAGACTTAGGAAAAATTAACAATGAGAATAGATTACAAATTACATTTATTTATATGTGATAAAAACACATGATGTTGCAACTATGTATGTCGTATATTGTATACATTTTGGCAGAATTACCAACAATATGTAAAGTAAAAGGGTGCAAGTGCAACTAATGTGATATTTTATTGTGGCAACGTTTCATTTTCCAGGAGCTTTGTCAAGCCGTCAACGGCTCAACAAAGCTCCTGGAGAGCAAAACGTTGCCACAATAAAATGTCACATTAGTTAACCATGTGTCTTTTTACTTTACATGTTGTATATTGTATGATGTATACCATATATTGTATACTGCTAGAAACAAACCCAACTGACAAAGAGTGAACCCACTCACAGCCGACCCAAATATAGCAAATTTAGGTACAAGAAGAGATTACTGGTCTGTACTTGCATTCTCACACCTTATTGAACACTCAACACTAAGTGCAATATTGTTTGACACCTTATTGAACACTCAACACTAAGTGCAATATTGTTTGACACCTTATTGAACACTCAACACTAAGTGCAATATTGTTTGACACCTTATTGAACACTCTCAACAGTTTAAGTGGAATAAAATACTGACACCTTATTGAGCACTCTCAACAGTGTAAGTATAATAAAGATTATTTACACAGCATAAAACAAAACCTTACTGACACTTTGCCTGTTTAATTAAAGAATATCTGTAGAGCATAAACAAAAAGTGTTGAACTTACTTGGAAAGTAAGTGTTGGCTAGTTCCTTGAGTTCTGAGAATATTTGGCACATGACTGGCGGACAGTTGAGTGCTGAGTTGATGATGGCCTTTAAGATGAGACTGATATATTCCTGAGAAAGACGACAATCCTTTAGTTATTACTGAGAGATATATTCACCATTATGGATTGCCTTCAAGACAAAGCTAAAAGAGGAGTAAGATTATATTAGGATCATTAACCAGGAAGGTTATTAACCCAGGATAACCCAACAGGTGTGCGTGAGCACGTTCGATAGGAGTGAATGGAGACGAATGGTATTTGGGACCTGACAATCTGTTGGAATGTGAGCAGGGTAATATTTAGTGAAGGGATTCAGGGAAACTGGTTATTTTTATATAGCCGGATTTGAGTCCTGGAAATGGGAAGTACAATACCTGCACTCTAAAGGAGGGGTTTGGGATACTGACAGTTTGGAGGGATATGTTATGTATCTTTATAGGTATATGCTTCTAAGCCGTTGTGTTCTGAGCACCTCTGCAAAAACTGTGATTATGTGAGTGAGGTGAAAGAGTTAAATGATGATGAAAGTATGTATTTTCTTTTTGGGGATTTTCTTTCTTTTTGGGTCACCCTGCCTCGGTGGGAGACGGCCGACTTGTTAAAAAAAAAAAAAAATAATGACACTGCTATCAAACTGGCTCATTTCCATAGTGGTGCTTTAATCCTCTTCCCCAGGATGTCATACACACCAAAATTCAAACAGATCACAGCTGGTCACTGCTTATACGCTGCATATAAAGTCATTTTTTAACACACCGACCATCTCCCACAAAGGTAGGTAAGCCGCAAAAGAAGAAACACTTTCACCATCACTCATGCCATCAATGTCTTGCCAGAGGCAAGTTTTAAATCTTACTCCTGAAGATCATTGTACTTTCAATGTTGAATATACATTACTGGAAGACATAAGTGTTTTCTACTGTGTAAGATGAACACTTCTTCTAGGCAACTTATACTCACTTCTACTGTGTAAGATGAACACTTCTTCAAGGCAACTTATACTCACTTCTACTGTGTAAGATGAACACTTCTTCTAGGCAACTTATACTCACTTCTACTGTGTAAGATGAACACTTCTTCTAGGCAACTTATACTCACTTCTACTGTGTAAGATGAACACTTCTTCTAGGCAACTTATACTCACTTCTACTGTGTAAGATGAACACTTCTTCAAGGCAACTTATACTCACTTCTACTGTGTAAGATGAACACTTCTTCTAGGCAACTTATACTCACTTCTACTGTGTAAGATGAACACTTCTTCAAGGCAACTTATACTCACTTCTACTGTGTAAGATGAACACTTCTTCAAGGCAACTTATACTCACTTCTACTGTGTAAGATGAACACTTCTTCAAGGCAACTTATACTCACTTCTACTGTGTAAGATGAACACTTCTTCAAGGCAACTTATACTCACTTCTACTGTGTAAGATGAACACTTCTTCAAGGCAACTTATACTCACTTCTACTGTGTAAGATGAACACTTCTTCAAGGCAACTTATACTCACTTCTACTGTGTAAGATGAACACTTCTTCAAGGCAACTTATACTCACTTCTACTGTGTAAGATGAACACTTCTTCAAGGCAACTTATACTCACTTCTACTGTGTAAGATGAACACTTCTTCAAGGCAACTTATACTCACTTCTACTGTGTAAGATGAACACGTCTTCAAGGCAACTTATACTCACTTCTACTGTGTAAGATGAACACTTCTTCAAGGCAACTTATACTCACTTCTACTGTGTAAGATGAACACTTCTTCAAGGCAACTTATACTCACTTCTACTGTGTAAGATGAACACTTCTTCTAGGCAACTTATACTTACTTCTACTGTGTAAGATGAACACTTCTTCAAGGCAACTTATACTCACTTCTACTGTGTAAGATGAACACTTCTTCTAGGCAACTTATACTCACTTCTACTGTGTAAGATGAACACTTCTTCAAGGCAACTTATACTCACTTCTACTGTGTAAGATGAACACTTCTTCTAGGCAACTTATACTCACTTCTACTGTGTAAGATGAACACTTCTTCAAGGCAACTTATACTCACTTCTACTGTGTAAGATGAACACTTCTTCAAGGCAACTTATACTCACTTCTACTGTGTAAGATGAACACTTCTTCAAGGCAACTTATACTCACTTCTACTGTGTAAGATGAACACTTCTTCTAGGCAACTTATACTCACTTCTACTGTGTAAGATGAACACTTCTTCAAGGCAACTTATACTCACTTCTACTGTGTAAGATGAACACTTCTTCAAGGCAACTTATACTCACTTCTACTGTGTAAGATGAACACTTCTTCAAGGCAACTTATACTCACTTCTACTGTGTAAGATGAACACTTCTTCTAGGCAACTTATACTCACTTCTACTGTGTAAGATGAACACTTCTTCAAGGCAACTTATACTCACTTCTACTGTGTAAGATGAACACTTCTTCAAGGCAACTTATACTCACTTCTACTGTGTAAGATGAACACTTCTTCTAGGCAACTTATACTCACTTCATACATAATGTTACAGAAGGTTTTTAAATAAGCTGAGATAAGTAATAACTCAAAGCTTGTAAAATAGTTTATCCTAGCTGAGCTGAGGTAGGTACCAGCTCTTAACTTGTAAAATAAGGTAGTTTATCCTAGCTGAGCTGAGGTAGGTACCAGCTCTTAACCCTTTGATTGTCGCAGCCCCTTTCTAAAACTGTCATTCTGTCGCAAAATTTTTGGGAAAAAAATTTTTTTTTCTTTTGAAATGGTAGAAAATCTTTTCCCGATAGTAATGACACCAAAAGTATGAAATTTGGTCAAAAACTTACGGAATTACACTCCCACGAAGTTAGCGGTCTCAGCGACATATACGCATTGGCAATTTTGCCGACTTTGAGCCCTGTTTTTGGCCAATTCTGTTGTTCCAGTTGACCAAGCTCATAGCTATTTCTTTAGAACTCCATTTTTTCTATCAATTGAGTACAAGAAACCGCCCATTTACCGATTTCAACTACCCAATAAAGTGGTCAGAAATTGGCAATTTGGCCAATTTCACGCAAGTTAAAAAGATGCCAATTTAGAAATACGGTCCAGAAAAAACAATGTAGACATTTTTGGCACAAAAATAACATATCTTCTGTTCATTAGTCATGTCTCTAGGCCCCTCTTATATTACTATTGCTTTCTATTTTTATTTTTTATTCATACAAAAAATACAAAATTTACTTTTATGCAGACTACTGCATTATTGTAAAAATGGTATAAATAATATCAGTGCACTAGTGAAAGAATATTAGACTCACCAGTTGACATGTATTGGACGTGTGGTGTGATTTGCTTACTTGAACATTAGTAAAAATCGAACATTTCCGCCACTTTGAGCTCAATTTCAAGGTCGTTTTCATCGTGAAACTAATCAAAATCATCTCTATTTATGCAATATGTTTTCCATTTTATCACGTGAGACCATGAAAATGAGAATACAACAATAAATACTATACGAAAATACACCTCAAAGTCGGCGTTTTAATCCAAAAAAACGGTCAGTTTTTTTTCTCTTTATGCACTGCGTGTTGAAGGATTTTTTTATGTGGTGCACACTGACCACACAGACCCATTCTCTCGCATGTGGGCCTACCAGCTTTCTCCCAGTTGATTTGAAGCCGCTAGAATTAGAGTATATATACGTCTGAAACAGTGGCTCAAAAGACGTATATATACGACCAAACAGTCAAAGGGTTAACTTGTAAAATAAGGTAGTTTATCCTAGCTGAGCTGAGGTAGGTACCAGCTCTTAACTTGTAAAATAAGGTAGTTTATCCTAGCTGAGCTGAGGTAGGTACCAGCTCTTAACCCTTTGACTGTTTCAGTCATATATATACGTCTTACGAACCACCACGTTTGACGTATATATACAGTGGACCCTCGCCTAACGATATTAATCCGTTCCTGAGAGCTCAACGTTAGGCGAAATTATCGTTAGCCATATTAATTTTCCCCATAAGAAATAATGGAAATCAAATTAATCCGTGCAAGACACCCAAACGTATGAACAAAAAAAATTTTTACCACATGAAATATTAATTTTAATATACACAAACTGAAGAAGACATGCACAGTTGCATGACACTTACCTTTATTGAAGATCTGGTGATGACTGATGGGATGGGAGGAGGGGAGACTGTGGATGGTGTTAATGTTTAGAAGGGAAATCCCCTTCCATTAGGACTTGAGGTGGCAAGTCCTTTTCCAGGGTTACTTCCCTTCTTCTTTTAATGCCACTAGGACCAGCTTGAGTCACTGGACCTCTGTCGCACAACATATCTGTCCATAGAGGCCTGTACCTCCCGTTCCTTTATGACATTCCTAAAGTGTTTCACAACACTGTCAGTGTAATAGTCACCAGCATGGCTTGCAATAGCTGTCTGAGGGTGATTTTCATCAAAAAAGGTTTGCACTTTAAGCCACATTGCACACATTTCCTTAATCTTTGAAGTAGACAACTTCTTCAATTTCTCAATCCCCTCCTCCGGAGCTGTTTCCTCAGGTCTGGCCTCTTGTTGTTGAAGATGATCCAGCAGCTCATCAGTGGTTACTTCGTCATTGTCCTCCTCTAACAACTCTTCCACATCCTCCCCACTAACCTCCAACCCCAAGGACTTCCCCAATGCCACAATAGATTCCTCAACTGGCAAAGGATTCGCAGGGTTAGCCTCAAACCCTTCAAAATCCCTTTTGTCTACACATTCTGGCCACAGTTTCTTCCAAACAGAGTTCAAGGTCCTCTTAGTCACTTCCTCCCAAGCCTTACCTATAATGTTTATACAATTGAGGATGCTAAAGTGATCTCTCCAAAACTCTCTTAGAGTCAATTGAGTTTCCGAGGTCACTACAAAGCACCTTTCAAACATAGCTTTTGTGTACAGTTTCTTGAAGTTGGAAATGACCTGCTGGTCCATGGGCTGCAGGAGAGGAGTGGTATTAGGAGGCAAAAACTTGACCTTAATGAAGCTCATTTCCGCAGAAAGTCACTCTGCCACGTCTGAAGGATGACCAGGAGCATTGTC